GAGGGAGGGAGGAAGGAAGGAAGGAAGGAAGGAAGGAAGGAAGGAAGGAAGGAAGGGAGGAAGGAAGGGAGGGAGGGAGGATGGGAGGATGGGAGGATGGGAGGTGAGGGGAGGTTAGATGGATGGGGCAATGAGACCCTGAAATACTGAATGACCCTGTTTGACTGCGCTGGTGTGAGCTCTGTCCCCACCCAGGAGATCCTAGCGGGCAGGAGCCCCTACTGATGCCGCCCAGGCTTCTCTGTAAAGAGCCTGCAGATGGCAGAACAGAAGCAAGTTTACATAGATCCAAACCTTATCATAGGCAAATTCAAATTTAAAAAACGCGTTTCCCTTCGTACAGAAGACACACGTTTTAGGAACTATAACGGACGTCCTCTCCGCAGAAACTAATCTCCTTTAGCACCTGGGCGTCTAAGTGCAGACTGGAGAGGCTGGTTGGCAACGAGCCGGTGGTGGTAGCTGGCAGACTGATACCAGGGCTTGGACTTCTGCGTGTTTGCCTCCGTCTTCTCGTGCGTGACTTTCCCTCTCCGTGCGCGCGGTCTCGTGTGACGATGCCCACGGTACCTGCTCACGGGTCGTGAGGACAAGTCTTCCTAATTCAGTCTCGTCATGGCCACAGGTGAGGGGAGGAGGGCGATTCTGAAAACTCAGTAAACGTTTTCCACGGACACGTTCCGCCCCACCCCAACCACCCAGGGGTCTGTTCAGGTAAATTCCTGCCGTCCACAGACAGACTACATGGCACATACACACTCATGCACTTGCGGTCGCTACCTGGAGTTTGCTTATCAGCTGAGACTTCCTTAGGAAAAATCCCTTTAGTCAGTGAACTCAACAGACATCAAACTCGGGTCTATTTTGGTGGTGGTGGTGGTGGGAATGGTACTTTGTGGCTCAGCTCATAACTTGATGATGTAAACTGCCCACCTATTATAATTTTCTTTAATTTAAACAAGTATTTTAATAATATTTCAGTAGAGAAGGTCTAACTCCTTCCTTTTAACTTGTTTTCTCTAACACAGGGCCCGTTGTCACAAGGTGAGATGCTTGCTGAGCCTCTGCCCTGAGCAGCGTAATTGGTGTGAAACACCGAGTGAGCCCCGAGGGGGCAGTGAGTCCTGGGGGACTTACGAAATGACCACAGGTGTCAAGAAGTACGTCTGCCACTCGCTAAAAGGGTAGAGCTCTCGGCTGGGCAAAGCATTCTGTGTTTGATATAAAATTTTAGAGGTATACACAAATGAAAAACACTCTTTTTGAGAGGATTTCTTGTTTTTCTAAAGCATTTACGTGTAGAGTATGAAATAAATAAAACGAAGTCAAGGAACTACCCAGAAATATCAATGAGAAGGAAAGAATGGCAAAAGGTGACCTCTAAACACTGCCCCAGAGAAGTCGTGGGAGGCAAGGCAGGAATAACTGAGGGAGGGCTTATCAGGCGTGCCATGGTGCCCGGCACGCTGGGCATGAAGTACGTGGCAAACGGTGATACCAGTGCCACGGGGAGCCAGGAACAGATAGCAGAGCCAAGGGCACAGGTGACCAGCGAGACATGGCTGGGGTCTCCCGCGCCCCGCGGGCAGCGAAGCATCCAGACCGTGGGTGGTGCTGGCCGCTAGGCTCAGTGTTAGAGCGCGAACCAGGGTTTAGAAGGAAATGACAGACCCACAGCGTTATACAAGCATATATGCAGACACACTTTAACAGCTGAGAGCTCAATTTTGAAAATAAAATGTATTTTAATAAACACTGCCTTTATAATTATTCAAATTGTGTGTATATATTTTTCTGGACACCATATCATAAAATATAAGCAAGTGGACATGTGTAGAGGGTAAAAAAAACTAAAAATAGAAGTGTGCCCACCCCACCTCCTCCCTGCCGGGGAGTGGCCACCACCTTCACCCCAAGGTGGGAGCCTTCCGCTAACGGGACCAGGCTACAGGCTTCCCTGGACTTGGTTCTGCTTTATGGTTCCTCACTCTCGGGGCCACTGTCTCGTTCACTGACCCACCACGCGGGGGTTCGCCGACAGTGGACTCAGAAGAGGGTCATTTGGGGAGAGCATGGCTGCTTTGCCTCTAGTGTGTGACGCTGGCGAACCCTGACTTGAGTCTGTGACTGGAAGGAAGCACTCACTTGTAATGCCCACACTTCCCCTGCGTGGAAAAAACAAGATCAGCTGACCTTGTTTCTAAAAGGAAGTAAAAATTCCCCGTGTCAGGTGGTGCTTTATAAGGGAAGTTTGACCACGTGAGAAGCTACTCCTAACCCAAGGAAGGGCCACGATTCGGGTGGGAAGCCACATGGGAGGCGTTGCTCGAGCAAAGTGCATGGACAGTAACCCTCAGTGTTAGAGAGCGAACCAGGGTTTAGAAAGAAATGCAGAGGTCCGACTTCATTCCTCCCTACCCAATCCCGCCCACACGAGACGAGAGAGGGACCGTTCTGTACGTCCCAGGGCTCACGTGTGGGCCTCCCCCGCCGGCTTTCTCAGACCTTGCACAGAGCGTCTTATAGGTGCTTCCTGCAAGCCGGGTTCTGATCTTGGTGTCAGGATTTGGGGTTGAATACTTTCCGTTTGAGGGGCTGCCCTGTGCATTGTAGGGTGTGTAGCCAGGAACACACACACACCCAGTCGTCACAACCAAAGTGTCTCCAGACATTGTCGACACCCTCTGTGGGGCAAAACTGCCCCCCGCCCCCAGTTGAGGACCAATGCTGTAAGACCAGGTGACCCATTCTTATTAAATGGTGTATTTCTTGGTGCCATGTGGCAGCTTCATGGAGCATAGAATATTGAAAATGCACAACTTGCATTTTATTAGTGTCATTGACCCCGCTGATCTTTTCATTCCTGTTCTGGTTGAACTTGAAACAGGGTAACAATGTTTCAATTCCTCGACTACTCTTGAAACCTCGGTGGATTTAATTGCTTACGGGAAAGTGTTACTAGTTAACGTGAAAACACAAAGATACCTTTAGGAACTACATTGTTAAAAGTCTAAGAAGCGGTTTCCTAAGGGCAGGGGTCTCATCGGCTCGCGGGCTGTCTCCAGCGGCGTCAGCGGTCCGGGGGTTTGGGAGGAGACCCTGACACCGCGCAGAGCGTTGGGGGGCCCCCTCCGCAGCCCTGACGCCGGCTGGTCCGTCACCCCCGCGCCTTCCCGGGCTCCGTTCCGCAGCCGGCCAGCGGGGGGCGCGGGGCTCCGCATCCCGCCTCCCCGACCGCATCCGCGGTTTGCCCCAAGGTCACAGCTCCGGAACGAGCTCGCCGGCCGGGGC